AAAAAAAATTTTCTTTTCCCATTATTTCCATATTGTTCAACATTTGCTGGGCAATGAATATTGTAACTTCTCATCTATTTGTATGTTTATCAATAGGAATTTCAAATAACATGCATTTTGAATAAATATTAAATGCTTTTAGTATTAGTATACTAAGCTGACTGGTTTACATTTTAAAAACAATATTAGTGGATGCTTACATTGGAAATGAAAAGTTTTGTGACTTGAGTGAACTGAAACTAAAAGATAAATGTACATACTGTAAACACAAGGGAACTTGAAAAACCTTGTGGAAAAAAACCCATCTTTTCGTTCAGTTTTTCCACGAACTTTTTGAAGTCAATTCGTTATTCTCGCTGTACTGCAAATGAGCATAAGTAATAAACTACAGATTGCTTAGGCTTCCGCGCGTGAATTTAAACGCCATCAATGTTCTGCTCTCGACGCTGGTTTCCAACTCTCTCCACTGAGTAACGTATCTGCTCCTTTCTCCAGGAACAATGCTACAATTCAGTGGCACCACAATTCAAGTTTTAATTTTGTAGTTTAGCTTTAGCGTTTCATGTATCATCATTGCCTAATTAGCTTGAAAGGAGAGAGAAATGTAGGGATTGTTAAAAAGCAAAATTAAAGCTACATGAGTGTTTGAGCTCAAAGTTTTGTAGTTGGTAAAACTGACAAGGTTCTTTGAATGCTTCCCCAAGTGCCTGTTATCGCTATACAACTGCAAGTAATGATGGCATTAAAAAATTTGAAAGCTTTTAACTTTTATTTTTTAGGGAATATTTTACATGTTAAAACATTACACATTAAAAATGATAGCTGAAACAAAATAATCTTTCAATTTAATAGTCCTATGCTTTGCCTAAAATTTTTGAATAGTTGACATTACTTCTTTTTAACCTTTTAGACCGGTATTTTAAGGTGACGCTTCCTCAGTGTTTCTTATCCTCTCTATACAGACTTCTTCATAGTAAAGTGCAAACAGTGCAGCATAAGCTACTGATGCCTTTGTTAAGAGTCTAAGAAGTACCTTCCCATCCAGTCTGCAAGCGATGTAAGCTAGAACACTGACGCTAACTAAGGATTCATTTTCCAGACAATCTCTCCGTGACACTTCTGCTTAACATCTGCAAGACTTTCAAGTTATCAAAAGAACTAGTTTAAGATTGTAAATGACTTAACATATTATCTAAGACAGAAAACAATTTTTCCATTATTTACAAGAATTAAAATAACTTGGCTATGCTTTCAAAAGCTTCAACAAAATCAGATCTGCTTTATGTTTTTCCAAAGTTTATATTATTAAAATGGTGAACTTTACTGTAATTGTAAATGTACAATGTTATTAGGGGCTGTTTTTTTATTAGTTCCTAGTTTAGTTGTTCGGTAAAAGTTGCATTGGAAAGGTAAAAGAAAATTTGGGTTTCAAGCTTCTACTTGCTAACATATACCTTTACAAGATATATTTTACTATATTTTCATACTTTGTATACTAAATATAAATTACATTAGAAATGTTTAAGATATAAAGATAAAAAAGAGGATAGACCGATTTTTTTTCTTTGTCTTATTATAAAACTTCAAAGTTTCTTCTTTTTAAAACCATGATTGAATTTTTCCAAAGTAAAAAAATATGCTCCTATTGTTTTATGGTAAAGCATTTACTTTAAAAAAAAATAAGTTATTGGCATTCGAACCACAAGGTGGTGCTAAAATTCCATGATGATACTGCTATTTCAGAAGTCAAATGATGTTTTATTTTCTCTTATAAACTCTTGACTTTTGCAAAGGTACCTCTTTTGTAAAGGAAAAGATAAAATTAACATTGATGAATTCCAGAAATACTTACCGAAATATTACATACACTGTATATTTTTATATTTCTATATTGCCAATTTTTCAAAAGTTAAGGTTTAAAAGTAACAACAAAGCATATAATGGAGTACTACATATTTTTAATTTTTAAAAGCTACTCTTATTTAGAATAAAAACTTAATGTTAATAATTTATATTTCATACTTGCCTGATTATATGTATAATTATAAACATATAAAAAACATGATCCAAAAAAGGCAATCATACAATCTATATGATCATTTTATAAATTTTATTTTTCATTCAAAATAGCAGAGTGGTTTTTCCTGTTGATTATCCAAGATTATTAACTTCACTTTTAATTTCTTAAAAATATAATGTCTTGAGTCTTTTAAAATGACTTCCTTTTTTGTTTTGATTTAAATTCATCTAAGACTTCAATAAGGATCTCTCCTGCCTGAATTTACAACTTCTACCATAAAAAAAATGTTTTTAAATGTCCCTCCCTATATATCTAGTACTACTGGATAGCCGCCACCAGCGAAAGCTGGGCTGCTGCCTAACTTAATATGTGTTGCAGAATAGAGCACTGAAATACAAAATACATTCATCACAGCGAACCTTTAAACCTACTTCCAAATATATACGTAGAATCATATCCTGACTTTCTCAGTGTTCATCGAAAGCGTGTTGCTCCCTTTTACGAAGCATTAAACAACAGTTATTATTTTACTTAATTTTCAGTGACCATATTTAATTGTTTCATTGCAATGCATTCATCAGTACAGATGTAGGAGAGCCTCCTGGGTCCAACATGCAAGCCCCGCTGGAGCAGTTCCAAGAGGATGTAAGCCACACTCAAGTCTGTACTTTCAAAAACATATTACTTAGCACACTGCCAACAAACGTCAACACAAACAACAGTGCAGTACTGACTTCACTCAGCAAAAGACATGTAACTGAAACAGAACTTTTCCCAAAGAGAAGTAAAATCTGCTAATGTGGAAAGTAACAGCTCAAAAAGTATTTATTCAAAATTGAATGAGAAAACTTATATTCCAAATGGAATTCTAATTCTTAATAAAAAATATTGCAGAATATTAAAACTGTAATGAGAGTTCTTAAAATGCATAAGAAGTAAAATAGCTAACATTCTAGAGCAGGTCCTGTAGACGAGTCCCCAGTTAGTGAGCTGGACATTTCAATAACTCTACTGTTTCTTCAAACCTGAAATAAAAATTTAAAAATATATAAGAAACAAAGTAAATATATATAAGAAATAAAAAAACTAAGATGTTATTAAAATCACACATTATTCTAAAATTAATTTGAAAGTTTTCTTATTTGTAGGTGCAGTTGTTACTCATAAACTAGGTGAACACTGGTTCAAATGGGAAATACAACTAGAGCCAAGTAAGACTCTAATTTTTGGAGTTGAAGTTATAATATTTTAACAATGTCAAAAGAATATAATAGTTTTTTTAAGTAGTAGTCTATATAATAACTTTATATGAACTTCATTTTCTTGTCTTTTGAATTTCTCTTTAAAAAATCAAATATAACTTCTTATTTGTATTGGACAAGGGTATTATTTTAGTATTACCTGCCCAATAACTTTCTGAAAAAGGCTAACATTACTTAATCAATATTTAACAGTTTTAAATATATACTATGTAATACTTTGATATCTAAGTTATGAAAGATAACTACTCATGATCATTATCAGTCAAAAGAAAACAAAAAACTCTGCACTCTTTAATCCCCAGTTAATTCCTTTAATGATGTTTTACATCACTTGTTAGAAACCAAAACAGTGACTCATCTCATAAACATAGAACTGCAGGTAGATTTATTATCCACCGGAGTCATGAAGGAAATTCCACACCTGATTGAGAGACCTTAAAGGTTTGAAGCACAATGTACATTCTATATTTACTGTAATCCAATACAATTCCCTACACAGAAATAAATTTCTGTTGCCACTTCCTGTTACTTACATTTTTTTCATCCTTTCCATTTTCTGGATGCTTGTTTCCTTTAATTTAAAAATCAACAAATTTAGGCAATTTCTCAAAGTCAACTATCATCAAAGTTGGGGCCTGAACATATAAAACATAATCTAAAACATTATTATCAAGTACTGTTTACTTATCAGAAAGAATTTTTAAGAGAGATTAAGATTTACACAGCTTCACGATTTTTCTTGCCAGCAATATACACAACAAAAATAAATGCTGGTTGTTCTCCAGTCCTGAGAATAGAAATCATCCAAGCACTTGCTAAGGTTCCTTACCTCTGAATTATCTTTCAAACCACAGCATGTGATAGTCAAGGCTCTGGGAGTTGAATCCGAAGAGGATGTGCTATAACCAGAGGACAGGGGAAGACTTGCTGAACTCTCCTCATTGTTTTTTCTATCTGTGAAAACATTCACTTTTAGGTTAGTTTTTCCTTCCACAATGCAGTTAAATACTTTAAAACTTTATAGATGAAAGAAAAACAAAGTTTCCATAAGCAATGGTTACTGTATAATCAAGGGGAGGTTTTAATACTCATTTAAAGACAATGGTGTGGATGTTAAATACCAGTCAATAAAATTACTGAAAATAGTATTAGCAATTTGAGTAAAAGAGTAAATTAAGAAAAATATGCTTCTTTTAAAAAAATCAGCCACTGACATATTTAGTTTTCTTAAAATAGTGTCATTTATATTAGTGACTATAAAAAATCTGTCATGAAGCTTTTCTCTTTACTTTATTGGAATAAAATGCATTTATCGTAATAGTTTATGAGAAAATTCCACATCACATACAACAATTCAATTTTCATGTATTCTGAAAAATAAGCATTCCATTAAATGAACAATAGTTATAATGTTGTTGGTAGGTGCCATAAAGTGATTTCTAACTAGGAGCCAACGTATGCTGTTGCTAACAGGGGCTGGCACGTTCCATCCAACTTCCAGCAACCATATGTACAACAGAAGGAGCGGCTGTCGGGGCTCACACCAGCCTCACAACCATTGTCAGGTGGAAGCTTTCTGTGGCAGACTCTGTGGCAATCCATCTCTTTGAGGCTCATCTTCTTTTTTGCTGATGCTTCTACTTTACTCAAGCATGACTGCCTTTTACAGGACTGACCTTCCTGGTAATATGTCCAAAATACATGAGCAAAGTCTCACCATCCCTGCTCCCAATGAACATTTCTTCTAAAAGATTGATTCATCTTGGCCAGACCATAATTCAAATGCACCAACTCTTCACTTATCTTCCTTAGTCACCATCCAGCTTTCTCATGTCCTGGTGCTTTGTAAAAATTTTAATCGTTTTATTAGGGGCTCATACAACTCTGGTCACAATCATGCATACATCTATTGTGTAAAGCACACTTGTACATTCACTGCCCTCATCATGGCGCTTTTAAGCTGAATATGATACCTAAGCATTTCATAATTCTTTTACTGTCCGGTGATCGGTGACAACAATTCCTAAATCTGACCAGACACCCTTTTTATCATTCAAGGAAAATTAAACTCTGAGTTAATGCTTACATAAGGAATGACTTTAACTTAGAATTCAATCTTCTATGTCTAAAGAATTGAACAGCTTGGCATTTCTAATATCCTAATATTTATCCAGCAAAATGAGAAATCTTCCCTACAACTAAATTAAAGGACATTACAACTAAGACAGCACATTTAATTGTAAAGTTTAGTAATCATCTTTTGGTGGTGGTGGTGTTAGGTGACATCAAATCAACTCCCACTCATAGATGCCCCATTGTGTTACGCAGGGTTGTCTAGAAAGCAAATCCAATGGCACTCATATATGTATGAGGGGGTAGACCCCCCCAAAAACGAAAAAACAAAACAAAACTGCTGGGCGGAGCTTTCATAGAACACATTTCCCCCTGCTAGATGAGCTTCCAGCAACTCACTCTCAGCGAGTGCACCCCATGGTATTGCCTGAGAAGGTTCTCTCTGGTCACAGTGAATTTTTTCATGAAAGCAAGTTTCACTCAAATCTTGTTTTTTGTGATGGCCGGTTTAAGAGGACAGCATGCGGTTGGGAACTTCTGTTTCCTGCTTGGGAGAAATGCCACAGGAACTGCTGTGATGTTGAACACAGCTTACAAGGACAGAGCTATGGGAAAAACTCTCGTTTCTAAAAAGGTGAAAGGTCGGTTGATGACAAACCTTTTTCTGGATATCCATGAACTTCCTAAAAGGATGAAAATGTCAATTCGTAGAGCATTTAGAATTCATTCCACCAGACTGTTAATCAAGATTTCTATTTAGAAGTTCTGAAAAGATTGTGTAACAGTGTATGGCAAAAAGGCCTGATTTGTGGCAGACGAGGAACTGGTTTTGCCACTACGACAATGGTCCTGCTCATGCAGCTATCTCAAGTGGGCCAGTTTTTGGCAAAAACAGCTTGCCTCTCCTGCTCCACGCACCTTATTCACCTGACCTTGCTCAGTGCAACTTCTTTTTGTTTCTGCAAATGAAGAGAAACATGAAAGGACAGCGATATGACAAAGTAGAAGAAGTGAAGAAAAAAAGAGGGGGATGCTGTCAGTCATCCAGATGAGTCTGAAAAATGTCTCCAAGGACGGATCACAGAGCTGACAAAGGTAGTAAGTGTAACGACGGAGAGTACTTTGAGGGTTTTAAGGTTGTTTTATTAAAAAAAATTGAAATACATAGCTTTGGGAAAAAAATTCTGGGGTTTTTTTTTGGGGGGGGACACCCTCGTATAAGATAGTACTTTATATCAAGAAGTAACTATATATCAAAAAGTCATCCAGGCCAGTCCAACTCAAGGCCATAAGTCTGATGTTAATCCATAAGTTCCTTTTCAAATTCATGTAGCGACATACTGGAGTTGCAGAATGGTGTGAACTGGGAAGTAGAAGAGCACAGACCAGTGGGTGTAGGGCTTAGGGGATGCAAAGATCAGTGGAAGCAGGGCAAAGTGCAGACAGCTCTCAGGGTTGAATGGCCCACACGGGGCCACCCCTGGAGGCAGACACAGAGTCCAAGTGAAGTCACAGTGAGAGGAAGGTGATGTGGCAAAAAGAGATCATCTCTGTTCACCTTGCTCTGATTAAAAAGACTTACAACATCAAGGAGGTGTCAAGCTGCGACGTGACTGACAGATTTAACTCCACCCCAGCCTGGAGTGTGCAGTTGACATAATCCTGAACTGCCACCCCGTGTAACAAAAAACATTATCCACTCCAGTGCCATCTCAAAATTACTATGCTTAAGCCCGTTGGTTCAGCCACAATGACAATTCTTTTTTCACTGACAATTTATTTTACAAGCATGGTATCCTTTTCCAGGGACTGGTCTCTCCTGGTAACAAATCCAAAGTACATGAGACTAAGTCTCACCTTGTCATCCTTACTTCTAAGAAGCAGTATAGCTGCACTTCTTCCAAGACAGACTTTTTTGTTGTTCTGGCATTCCACAGTACTTTAGATTCTATCAATATCAAATTCCATATCTGAAAACTCTACTGTATCATGTAATTAAAAGTCTTATAAAAAAGCATGCATAATTGGCCAATCACTTTTAACAAAAAGGAAATGTCAAGAGCAGCATTAGTTAATGGCAAAACATTGCTTTTAAAAATCAAGGTTTTCAAACATATATTCCATTCGGACAATTTTCTTACTGAGAAATTGGTAACAACTGCTTAAACAATGATGTTTCTCTTTCCTAAATTGTCATTTAAGAAAAAAAAATTCGTTCAAAGATATTCAACATTGTAAAATAGTTTTGGCTCCTAAAAGAGCTCTCTACACCTCTTCCAAGTCTCTCGTTCCAGAATTTCAAGCCACAATTTCAATTTTAGTTACTGTGAGGACTCACTCAAATTGTAAATATTCCAGCCTGTTCTTGTTTCATGTCATTGGCTCTGACCGAACTGATCCAAAGCCCTACATTAAAGGGCAAACTGGTCCAAAGCACTGCATTATAGGCAGACGTTCATAACTCAGGCACTGCCTGTATATCATCTAATGTTGTTTCCAAAAAACCACAAACAAACAAAAACCAAGCTTTGGAGTCTGAATGTTATTTATTAGCTTTATGGTGGGGGGATGGTCAGGAATTCAGCGCTCACATCTGTCAAATAGGAGTTTTATTGGTGGTACTGGTACTGCCAAGTCAATTTGGACTCACAGCAAGCCCATGTGCCAGCAGAACTGCCCCATGGGATTTTCTTAGTTGTAATCTCTATAGAAGAAGGTCTTCTTCCTGTAGAAGCACTGAGTGGGTTTGAACTGCCAAACTTTTAGCTAAACTGCTGTGCCACCAGATTTCCTACAATTAATGCTCTCTGCCTGGTGGTCCAGTGGTTACGTGCATTGGGCTGTGATCTGCATGGTCAGCAGTTCGAAACCACCAGCAGCTCTGTGGGAGAAAGACTGGGCTTTCTACTCCTGTAAACAGTTACAGTCTAGGAAACTCACAGAGGGGTCAATCTGGCTTTTGGTTTCCCATCCAAATGGAATCAACTGCTCTGGCTCCAAGTAGCATGCATATTAAGACAGAGTGTGGGAGACTTTATAAATTTGGTTCCTTTACTTTACGTAGATCAGATTATAATGTCTTTGAGACAAGGAATTTTGGACTGGTGACACCCCCAAAATATGTGTTGCAAATCCTAACCCCTATACCTATGCTTATACTCCCATTTGGGAAGAGGCTGTCTTGGTTCATAAGTCAAGATTGGTGTAGGGTGTGTCATAAATCAATCTCTTTCGATTTAAAAGAGATTAAACAAGTAGGTGAAAGAACCAGCAACCCGAATTCAGACTTCCAGGCACCCCAACAGTGAGTGAAGCCGCCATGATGGTGTAGTGGGTTACACAGGGGGCTGCTAGCCTCCGGCAAACAGTTCAAAACCACAAGCTGTTCCACAGGAGAAAGATGAGGTTTTCTACTCCCATAAAGATTAGTCTCTATTAGAAACCAGTCTGGAAGTTCTACCCTGTCCTATACGGTCACTATGAGTAGAAAACGAATCAATAGCAGTGAGTTTTTGAGAAACGGTGAGAAAATAAATTTCTGTTTGCTAAAATTACCCTACCCACTTGTGGTATTTCTGTTATAGTAATTTCCTATCTGGTACTAAAACACTAGGTATTCATCATATTTGTAATATATACGCTATTTCAGATAAAGGCCTATCTCTTCATCGCTCTAAATCCTGAGTGGCTTAAACTTTATATATTTGCATAAATGAGATAAAACTATGTTTTATAATAATATAAAAATAAATGAAGTCTAAAACATGCAAAATTAAGCCTGGCAAAAGCAATAGTATACAAATAGACATTCAATAGTCTTTTGATATATAAAAATTTGAGTTCAAGTATATTCAGGCACTGAAGAGAGAACAAAATACAGACATGTCAACAAGCAAATCCATGAGACAAAGTTCTTGCCCTAAGATTGTTGAATAAGTGAAAAATAAATGGGGGAGGGGTGGCAGAGAGAGAATCATCCTTATACCAAATGTGAGGGCCACTACCTACCATATATACTCGAGTATAAGCCGACACAAGTATCAGCCGAGGCACCTAATTTCACCACAAAAACTGCATTAAAAATGTGCTGAAAACTAGGCTTATAGATATGACAAAATACCAATTTATAAACTATCAAGGGCTCATGAGGGAGGGGGGAGCGGGGAGAGAGGGGAAAAATGAGGACCTAATGTCGGGGGTTTAAGTGGAGAGAAAATGTTTTGAGAATGATGTACAAATGCGCTTTACACAATTGATGTGTGTATGGATTGCGATAACAGTTGTATGAGCCCCTAATAAAATGTTTAAAAAAACTCGGCTTATACACAAGTATGTACAATATATTACATGAAGAGTACCTCAAATAATTACATACATAACCTAATTAGTAAAATTGCTCTTTGTGTGGTGGCAAAGTGGGTTGCACATTGGGCTGTTAACTACAAGTTCAGAAGTTTGACACAACCTGCTGCTTTATGGAAAAAAGATGAGACTTGCTAGTCTTTTCAAGAATTGCAGTCTTAGAAATCAATGGGGGTAATTCCACCCTATTCTACAAGGTGACTGAGAGTCTGAAGTGGTTTAATGGCAGTTCTACCATTCTATGGGACCTCTGGCAGTGACTTACCCTCCCTCCGCTTCAGTTTCCTTATTTGTATAACCGGGGTAATAATACCTAACTTGCAGGACTGCTTTGAAAATTAAATGAGTTAATAAAGGACTTAGAAAAGTGAGATTGGTAGTTTGCTCCATAATATACTGTCATTGTTATTATGAAGCTTATGCATATATAGATTGAAAAGTTTCAGTCTAAGATAAGTTCTTGAGAAAATATGATTTAAGCAAAAATACGAGGCAGAATTCATTATCTTTGTTTATCAGAAAATATAAGATAAAAAAATAAAAGCTGTCACTGATACACAGATCAGAAATCCATATCTTTGTTGCATTAAGAGATTTATAATACCTTTCAGGTTAGTGATAAGTGTTTTCTTCTCTTACTTCTAACATTTATATCAGGGAAAGTTTGTACTTAAGTGTCAATTTGAAACTTTGGAGGTTTGTTGTTTTTATGCTAGAGCTCTGAGCAATTAATAGAGTAGAACTTGTCTAAAAGTCCCTAACTTTGAACTGGAACTCAACCAACTACTGTGTATAAGGCTGGCTTCTTAAAGTCCCCTTGGCTTCAATAGTCTGCAGATTCCTGGGAGCTTTGCAACTTCTACAAATAAAAAGTCAGACTTGGAAGTATTAAAATTGACAAATAGCCATAAAAATGTCTTTGCCGTCTATCATGCTACCAACACTATAAGAACTTACCAGAGTTCAGATAATCCACATGGCTACTAAGAGGAGAGTCTCCACTCATTTCATTGAATTCTATATAGTTGTCATTCTGGAATAACAGAGTTAGGTATTTAGGAAAAAAAAAATCACTTAACATTCTTACTGCCAAGCAAAATATTAAAAATGGCATCCTTAATGTCTAATTACTTTTAATGTACTTATTTAAAAATATTCCTGTGTAGAAAAATAATCTTTTAAATGTGGATCAGATGATGAATTTTTTCATCTAACTTTGATTTCCAGGAAGGAAAGCGGAACAGAGACTGAAACCCGGAGTCAGTCAAGGAAGAACCTGGAAGCACGACGGCAAACTCAGGGGCTGCTTTCCTGCAACATGACTGAGCTACGTGCGAACAGGAAATAAGAGCTATCATGTTTCCTCTTCTACCAGTATTTCTTTCTTTGTCCTGTGAAAACACACCGTTTATAATAAAGGGTATAAAATAATCATTTCAAGCTTTTCAAAAACAAAATCAAGCCTTGTCTTTTTTTTTTAAGAGACACAGCATCCTGTGTTTGCAGCACTATTCACACCAGTAAAAAGATGGAGATACCTAAACACTCATCCGTGGATAAGTAGAGAGACAAAATGTGGAACCCACATACGAGGGGTCCCCCCACAAAATGGAATTTTTTTCAAAGCTATGGATCTAAATTTTCTTACAAAGCAAACCTATCACCTTCAAAGTACTCTGCATTACACTTACTACATTTGTCAAGGCTTGTCTTGCATCATTTTTTAAGTACTTCAAGTAGTACTAACAATTCTAAATTCTCAATACATAGATTTATCATATTATCTTGTTTGATAAAGTAAAAACAATAGCCACGACAATAATCCTACAGGTGGCAAAATATCTGAACTTCATTTTTACACCCTCTCCTAGTCTTGAATGTTCTTTAACACTTCCAAAAGAATTCACACCTAACACTGAGTAAAGATAGTTTATAAATGTTAAGAAAATACCTTTTTAGACAGAAGCATTTCTGTTTCCAGAAGAGTCACACGACTTAGAAGATTAGTCCAGGTCTTTTCATTTACCATCATTTTTCCTTTCATTTTTTCTTCTAAACATTCTATTCTGCTCTCTAACCAACCAAGCTTCTGAAGCTTTTCTTGACAGTCAGCTAGCATAGTCTGTAGTGCAGTAATCTCAGGATTAAATTTCACACCCTACAATGATTAGAAAGATTAAAAATAATAGCACATAAACTTAACTCCTTTTAACATCAATGCATTCTCATTTACACTGTTTCAATAGTATTGTTTCAATTGTTAAATGAGGTGGGACAGCATGGTAGCTAAGAGCAACAGGTACCTCTGGAGGCAGATGGCTTGGGTGCTTAACCAGTTCATCTAAGCTGAATGACTTGGATAATTGTACCAACTTCATATGGTTCTTGTGAAAATTCAATGAGTTAGTCTGTAAAAGCTCTTAGAACTGTATCAGGTGGTACCATAAAACTGGCAATACTAGTTTCTTATAACGGTACCTAGCACAAATCTGAGAGGAAATGAACAATAAGTTCCCACACTTAAAACACTGAGATTTCTCAGTTGGCCCTAAAACGCAAAGTTAGTCCAATGGCCAGCCATCTGGTAGTTTTTATCTATGCCAATTGTACAAGGAGATACTGTACAGTATAGAGAAGTCACAGACATAGGAGAAAGGCAGAAAAGGGGTTAACAGAAACACCAGACAGTAAGCATTATAATGGGGCCTATGGCAATAAAGAGGAATAGAAGAGGTATTTTAAAAGAAATAAAGAATGGCAGCAAAGACCCAAAAATTTTGGGGGGCGGGGGCAAGAGGAGGTAGTGATACACCAATCATTTCATTCATTAATATACAGAACATGTAGTAGGGATATTTCACCGTGCATAATGTAAATAATTCTTTCCCACTAGAATGTAAATTCCTGAAAAGGCATAGCTCTTACTCATCTTTGCATTACCCATAATACCTAGCTCAGTCCCCTTGCCTAAGCAAAAAAGACTATCTGTTCAATTATTTGCAGTAAGATTTACAGTTAAGTAACAGAAACACAAGAAATGTGAATAATTCAGAGAGCTAGAAAACATTCCACATTTTAGAAATTAAATCACTTCAAAGAAATATTGGCGTGTGTTAAAGAAATCAAAGCTTACTTGCTGTTCAGACTTGATCTCAGGATCCTGTTTCTCAGGTGTCTGTATCTCAGTAGTCTTTGCTTCAGACACATCGAGTGCTTCATTAGCATCTGCTACTGTATTTAACGTGTCTTCAGGGGTGTCAGCACTATCTTCATTATATAAGTGACGAATCACCAGAGCTTTTTTCTGGATAAAGAAAAATAAAGAGCTGCGTCAATGATTTTCTCACACAATTATTTTTAAAATGCAGGCAGTCATTTCCCAAAAGAAACATCTTCCTTTAAGGTTTAAAGGAAGATAAGTATATATATGAGCATATACAAACCAACAGGTAAGTTAATAATATTATCTATATTTGACATGTGATGATACAATTACAGTTAAAATTTTTTAAAGCACTATTATAGTTTAGAAACAATACTGAAATATTCAATGATGTGTGAGTTTGTTTCAAAATGTTACAGTTTTACTTGGGAAGGCAATATTGAGGAAAGTAGAATAAAGATGAAAATGATTAATTAGCAAAAAGGTTGATTAGATGCTTTTATAACATTTGAGAATTCACAGAATAAAAAGTGTTGGGAAAAAAGCTTCTGAAATAATGCACACATGAAGGACTGGTTCTCTAACAGTTCCCCCACCCCCACCCCGATACAACAATCGATTAGATCTTCACCTGAAAACTCAAGCTTAACAGTGGCAAAGAAAGTCTTGGCAGTCAGGCATCATGTTAAACTATGTACATGATTCTACTGCCTGCTTCCCTTTTCACAAATTATTCACACAAAAAATATAAAAACTTAGCACATGTGATACAGACGTCACAGAAAGTATTTTATGGAAGGTACTGGGAGAAAATTTGCTTTCATATTCTCAACTTGACTGTTAAGAAAGAAATATATTTACATTGACTCAAACTTTTCTAAATCTAAGAAGTTTTAATAGTTCTTCCAATATCTGACTATTAAAAAACTAGTGAATTATTTCATTTAATGGGTAACCAAGAAGTACATTTAGTTACATTAACTTATATTTAATAGTATACAACTCATGCTTTTGAATTAAAGCAGAAGGAATTCACTTTACTTTACTACAGCTAGAAACTCTCAGCATCCTTGCTCTTATTAACATTGATTATTCACCTGGTCCCATCTTGCAGTTCCAGAGTGGGTTAAACTCCAAAAAGATGGCAGCTGAAAGTCCATTGCTGACCATAAATTAGTGTTTTGTTTTAAATTTCATTTGGAAACTGCTAACCAAACTGTCAACAGTTCAAAACCACCAGCCACCCCACAAATTAGGCTATTTGCTCCCATAAATATGTATAGGTTTAAAATCCCTACATAGGGTTTGGAAATGCCTCGGTGACTGGGATTCATTTGGGGTTTTAAATGGACTGGACTCATTCAGCACAGATGATAGAAATTTATCTATCAATATGTGAAAGTACTCAAAACAGTAATCAAAAACCAGATTACAGGCCTAGGTATTATCAATCACCACATAATTCACACTCTTAGTTATAGAAACGAGTGTGCATAAATTAATCATTACAACCTATTACCACTATTGGTAAGAGGCTCTTCATATGTTCCCATTTAGTGCAGATGAGGACTGTCATTAATAGCAAATGTAAATGACTGCTGTTCTCTGTGAGAAATGAGGTAGAATTGAGAATTAGAAATACATAGTCAGTTCAATTTCACATTTCTACCTCTTCTTGTGACTTTATAGGAATGTTCTTCATAAAAATATATGATCTACATCTTTTAAAAGCCTCTACACTCCAATATAAGACCAGAATGTTTTACCGGGTGCTCATGTACAATGTAAGGTGCCCTGTGGCTTAGTGTTTATATGTAGGGCTATGATCCGAAAGGTCAGCAGTTCAAAGTACCAGTCACTCCATGAAAGAAAAGACAAGGGTTTCTACTCCCTTAAAGAGGTAAGTCTCAAAAACTCACTGGGGCAGCTCTCCCCTGTCCTATAGAATCGACTCGACGGCAGAGAGTTTGGTTTATAATGTTCTATGTACCTACATACTCGTGGATAAGACAAGTTTTTCAGCACCTTTTCATAAACATTCAAAATCACTTTATTGGGGGCTCATAGAATTCTTATCACAATCCAAACATACGTTAATTGGTAAAGCACACTTATACATTCGTTACCCTCATCATTCTCAAAACATTTGCTTTCTGCTTGGGCTCTTGGAATCAGTTCATTTTTCTCCCCCCACCCCACTCCCTCCTGAACCCTTCATACTTTATAAATCATTATTTTATCATATCTTACACTGCCCGACATCTTCCTTCTTCCACTTTTCTGTTGTCCGTTCCCAGGGAGGAGGTTATATGTAGATCCTTGTAATTGGTTTCCCCTTTCTACCCAACCCTCCCTCCACCCTCCTGGTATCACCACTCTCACCAT